TGGCGAAAAGGATTGCTCTTCATCATTGTTATCATCATCGGATGAAGATGAAGTTGAGACCAGCGTTGTGCCGCTGAACTAGGTCGCGAATATTGCTTGTAGGAGGGTCTTTGGATTGCACGTGAGGGGTGCTCAGTGCTCTTGAACCGGTTCCCCCTCTTCCATCATTGAACTCCCATTTCTTTGCCCTCTCCCCCTCATTCTCTTCTCCGGTGTCACAAGGGAAAGCACCAACAATAGCGGCAAGCGGTGGTGGTGGTGGTGGTGCTTAGTCCCAACCTTTGCAAAACTCTGGTGATCCAAAACCCATTTCTTTGTCCTCTTCCTCTCGTTCTCTTATTTGGTGTCATAGGGGAAAGCACCAACAGCAGCAGAAAGCAGTGGTGGTGATGCTCAGTCCCAACCTTCGCAAAACTCCAGTGATATGAAACCCAAATTAGAAACGATTTTCTTGCATTGTTTAGATTTTATATGCACGTTTATCATCTTGTATTGTTTAGAAACCTAGATTGTCCGGTAAGGGAGGTCCTATCCAAATCGCCAAAAAAACAGGAGAGGTGAGGTTGAACAGCGTGCAACAACAATGGGCACAACTCCCATTAGAGGAAGGGGATGAGGGAGGGGTAATATTGGGTTTTAAAATAATTTTAAATGACATATGGTCTCGCATGTATATGGGTTATACTGGTTTTGACAAAATATTAACGATAAGGGTAAAGTTAGTCAATTGTTAGAAATAGTAGGGGTAACTCAGCCAAATTTCAAATAGTAAGGGTACACTTAGTCAATTAATTAAACCATAAGGGTGGTTTAAGAAATTTATCCATAATTTTAACTTTTACACATTTCATATGTTTCGTTATAAATATCATGTTATTATTATAAACAATAAGGATAGCACAAGACAATAATTAAACAATAAAATTAGAATTATTCAATTAACTAAACCATAAGGATAGTTTAAAAAATTTAACCTATTTTATATTCAATTGCCTAATAAGACATTTGAACACAAAATTATAACCTTCAAAAGTTTTCATACACTTTTAGTGTACAACCCACGACCTCGTCATAGGCTGAATAAATCAACAATCTAATCAATGAAGTTATACATTTTTTTTACCATGTTAACAAATTTTGACTAGTCATTGGGTTTTAAAATAACCGAACCTAGAATAATGACCGATGATGGTTTGGAAAATTCGATCAATTGACTCTTGGGCAGCAGCTCACAACGTTTCAAGGTGGGCCCCACATGGAAAGGCAATAACTTATGTTTAGTGAAAATTTGGAAAGCTATGTCAATTTTCATAATGCCATTTTAACAAATGTAACATGAATCGGACCCACTTGTCCAACCTGAGTGTAGGAGTGATCATGGTTCAACCTATTTTTGAACTCGAGTTGTCTAGTAGGACTGTAATCAGTCCTAGTTGTAGTGTACAATAAACAAGGCAAAGAAGTTTGAGAATGAAAGGGGAAGAAGAAACAGAATAAGAAAAAGAGAAGACGAAGACGAAGAGAGAAAGTAAAAAAGAGTGTGGGTTATGACTTGGATTGTCGCCCCATTCAGCTATTTACGGAAATACTTTTATAAAAGCATTTTTGTAAAAGTACATTATTAAAGCATTTTATGAAAAACACTTTTACAAAAATATTTTTATAAAGGCACTTTTGCACTTTTGTGGAAGTACTTTTACAAAAACATTTTTTATAAAAAGCATTTTTATAAAAGTATTTTTATAAAAGCACTTTTATAAAAGTTCTTTTACGAAAGCACTTTTATAAAAGTTCTTTTACGAAAGCACTTTTATAAAAGTTCTTTTACGAAATCACTTTTATAAAATAACTTACGGAAGTTATTTTATAAAAGCACTTTTATGGAAGTACATTTACGAAATCACTTTTATGAAAGTACTTTATAAAAGCAATTTACAAAAGCACTTTTACGGAAGTACTTTTACAAAACATATATGCCAATTGGTAAACACTGATTATTGGAGACCTAGGCTAGCGGTTTGTAAATTACGACATGATTTTTTTTTAAAAGAATGAAAATGAACAACATATGACACTTATCAATCTGAAAAGAATTCATTTTTAGGAAAAAAAGTGTTTGGTTCATAGCAATAATTTCTCATTCTACCTATTTTTATCCAATCTTTTCCATTTTAGAATTTCATCTTGGGTAAGAATGAGAATTGTGATTTTTTTTCAAGTGTATTGGGACCTTCTATTTTGCTTTGTTTTTTGGTTGTAGATTGTGAAAGTTTTCATTGCCTGGTTGGATTTTAACCTCATTAGAGATTAAATCCAATGGGGTTTGATTAATCAATTACATGAAAAACACATTTGCACATATGTCTTGGAAACTAGTTTTTTCTCTTACTTGAACCAGTTTTCAACTTGTGTATGGAGGCTTGCTATCGTGCAATGCGCATGCACGCATGTGCACGGTGCATTGTGACACACTTTGCTCGCACCTGCATGTCTCGCGAATGGCGGATTTGACTTTTGGTGCGAGCCTGACTATTGATGTTTCAACGGTCATGATTCGATCAAGTGTTGTCAATATGCACTATTCAAAGTTAACAGTCATTAACTATTAACTACATTTTTAACAGTAACAATGTTTGAAATTGTTATTATTCAATGAGCCTTTTTTTTAAATAAACACCTTCCACTGGTCCATGATTATTTGGTAATTATTTAAGGAGCGTGAATCAAGAAAATACACACAAGTTTTTCGAAAATCACTTTTGTCTCTCTCAATTTGATCTACTACTATATCACATAAGGTTTATTCAGAGACTCTTTAACTTTACTGGTTGCAGATTCTTGCCCAAAGCTTTGTTGTATCATGGAAAAGAATTTGCCTGTAACCCAACAACAAACTCAGTAAAATCAAATAAGGGCAAATAACATTCTAAAGACTATGTCTTCGGGCACACCTTCGAACTTCTCCTCCAAGTTTTAGTGACCTCAATTTTCCAATAGCTTTTATTATTATTCCTTAATTGTAGAAACAAAAATGCTAGGTTACAATAAACACATACTTTTAAGATTTTTCTTTGATTTTTGAGTATTTTTTTCTTCTAAAATGCCCCTTGATTTAATCTTTATTTTCGTTTTTCAATGGTGGTTTCTTTGCGATAACCATCAATAATTTGTGATCCAATTCTATTTTGGAATTCTTTTTCCGTTACACCCATCTACTTATGTCTGCTTTCCTTAAGTATTAAGCTTAGGTTAGAACAATATCTTATATTATTTAACTGTCTCAACTTCTGACTTTTGATGGCGTGTTGTTCTCGCATCTCACTATGTCAATTATGTTAATTAGATACCTTGTTCTCCATTTGGCGCATATTGTGTTTGGATAGACATTTAATTTGTCTCCGTAGTTCATTGTTTATTTCCATGATTGGGTTTTTGCTTTAAAGGACACGAGTTCGACAATGGGATATGAGTTTTGATCCATTTGGAAAAGTAAAAGGAGTAGAACTAGTTCTAATGGTTGATAAAGAAAATTAGAAGACATTCAAAAGGTATTTGTATCCTTTTATATGCCATTTAACCATTGTTAACAGTTTTATACTAAATTGATATATTTTGAAAGTTTAAGTATTAGATTTGTACAAAGTTCGAAAGACCAAATTGACACTAGATCCAAAGTACATGGTACTAATATAGATTTTTCCCTTAATTAAGTTGTCTAAAGACTCTAAACAACTAAAGTATTAAAACCCTGACTAATTATTAATTATTCATTTATTGCTTGTGAATAATGGGTGTAGTTGCTTTAATAACTAGTAATTAAATTGTTAATTAAATGGGTGTAGTTGTCTTAATTATTCATTAAAACCTAAACTAAAAACTAATAATTAATTGTTCATTAATTATTAAAATCGAAATGAATTTGGTTATGTCATTTCGATTGGGAAAAATGGTCAAATTGAATAGTTGGTTAGGTCATTGATTTTGACCAAACTGACCAATTATACACTCTAACCAGAGGTGCAAATGGATCAGATCTGATTTGAATTCAAAATCGATCTTATTTTATTGGATTTGGATACCCGTGATCGGGTTTTTGGATTGGGTTTTTTTCCTTTTAATAATACATTAAAATTTGAAGAAATTGAATTACATCTAATCAGATTTTGATATCCGACATCTCTAATTGATTTTAATTTGAATCGACATCTATAAAATCCGATTGAAACGGATCCATGATTTGTATTTTCCGATTGGATTCGGATATAGCCGGTTTGATATATATGAGTCTTGTTAGATCCGTTTGCGTCACAAAATCTGCTGTAAGTCATCATTGAGGCTATGTTTGGTTTGAAGGAAAATGGAAAGAAAGAAAGAAAAAAGGTAAAAAAACCTTAGGTTTTCCTGTATTTATCTTCCTTTCCCTATCTTTCCTTCAAACCAAACATAACCTGAAAGAAAATATTCGCGATGCACAGGATAATGTATTGTGGGTAGAGTTCTAGCGGGCCGGAGCTCCAGAGCTGTATTGTTGAACCGGTTTAGCTGCTCAGCCCTGCCAAACGGGTCTTAAAAATCTCTGCTCCATAAACTACCAGCGGGGCCAGGTCGGTGATAACTGGGCTCCACCAAACGTGCAGAGTTGAGTTAATATGTGGGGTGCGGAAAATGATTCCGATCCAATGGTTAAGGTCCTGTAGCACAACTGTTCATGTACCGATCTACTTGAGATTATTTGAAACAATTTTTTTAGTGGGTCTCATCATTTATTCCGATCTTACGTCAACTGCGTAAACAGTAAACAAATGGCAAGATGTACACAATCATAAAGATGAGTGGTGCGCAGTGCGCACTCGTTGAGTGAGTGGCAAGTGGAAAGTGGCAACGTTCAAAATTCAACGGCAAAAAAAGCGCGATATATTGGAGCCTCGCCGCAAAAATATTTCGAAAATTTAAATATCCGATTTATAAGTATATTAGTATATCCTAAGATTTATTTAGAATTTTCATCTCGGACAAGAAAACAAACGCGCTCCATACTCTCTCTCTCTCTTGCAGAGTTTTATTCTTCAGCCTCCTTGTGGCTTCAACTCGGTTCTAAGCTCCTAATCTCGACTCGGTACGGACACTTCGAAGATTCTGGTTCTATTTCTACAGCGTATTCTTCAGCTCTGGTTAGTTTAGGTTCTCTGGAAATGGAGCTCGTTGAATAATATTAGGGTTTTGTGTGCTCAAGCTTGAGGGAATTTGTTAACGCTTTAGCTGCACCTTTGGAGGTTCGACTGTGTAAAACGGTGGGGCTTGGTTCTATGGTTGGAAATGCTGAATTTGCAGAGATTTCTGGTTTTATTTCGACTATTTTTACTGATTTTGGACTTGTTGGAAGTTATGGTGATGTAAGAGCTTGGGATCTCTAGGGTTTGGTGTTTGTTAAGAATTTTCCATTTTTGAAGCTTGTGATTACAAGGACTGAGTGGAAGAAGAAGGTGGGGTGGAATTTGGGGTTTCTGGGAAATTGAAGCTTTGGATGGGCTTTTAGATTTTCTCTGCCAGCTGCAAAGATGTTTTATTCGCAATTTATTTTGGCGAAGAAAGGGCCGCTTGGTACAATATGGATTGCTGCACACTTGGAGAGGAAACTTCGAAAGAACCAGGTTGCTGATACTGATATTGGTGTTTCAGTAGGTTAGTATCATCCCAAATTTTGTGCTTTAACTGCTTACCTTTGTTTTCTTCTTTTTCCTTTGCCCAACAATGAGAAATTTGTGAGGTTATGAGTTTAGTTTACTCTTCCTTTTCTTTTTAAGGCTTCGAGTAGAATTGTGTGAAACCAGCGTCAAGTTGGGATTTAAAGATATAAACTCTCTCAGGTTTATAGTACTAAAACATAAACGGCTAATCTGGACTCCTCCGGATAAGGTGTATAGTTATAAGCTAGTAAATGCACAAGTCATTTTTTTTAATTATCACTTAAAATATAAGATGATATTTCATTATTAAATATTGAATTAGTGCCTTCACCTGGTTTCATCAAAATGCATCTCTGTGGCGTACTGGCATCTGCAGGACAGTTTTTAGGAACACATACTTTTGAATAGAGAAGATAAAATAGAATTTGACAGTTGAATTTTTGGAAAGAAATTGTAGTACAAGATATTATATACATGGAAAATCAACAAGGATGCATTGCTGTGCAATCAAAATATTATAGTTGACTATTAGCCATGTGCTTGGGACTAGTAGGCCATGAGAATTTTACAATAGCGGAAATCTAAGCCGTAAGGTAAGGTTTGAAGGTGGTAGTGGGATGTTTGAGAAGCAACAATCAAGGTCTCTGACTCTCTGACAATATCAACATGTTATGAGAGAAGTAAGAAGCTTGGCATAGAAGTTAATTACCACATTCACATGTGTTAAAAGATCTGCAAATAGTTTGGCTGTTGGGCTGGCCAAAAAAGAGTGAATAGGGGTCAGTTGTTTTGGGATCAATTGTAATATAAGCAGAAAATTAGGATTAGGTGCTTATATACCAACCTAAACTTGATGGATCCTTAACATGTTTGTCTATAATTTTTTATTTTCTAAATAAGTAAATCATGAAGGGTTACCAATTACAGAAAAAGGACAAAAAATTATAGTTTACTATGTAAAAATATTTTACTAGGACATGCAAGGAGAATAAATCTGAACCCACAGTAGTCATTTTCAAAAAAATTATCTTTTATCTTCAAAAAAAAAAAACCGAATGCTTTAGCCTTATCTATGTATTTCTAAACAGTGTAAATGAAAAAAAAGAAACCTTCTAAAAAGTGTTTGTCTTATAAAAGCGGAAATGCAATTCTAAAGGCTTCCAAATTCTACCAAAGTGAGGAATTCAAATTGCTATACTTGAAGGATTTTAGGATTTTTGAGTGTTCATATTGTCAATATTGCCTCCTTAAATCCACAAATTTCTTAATCTGTCTTAATGCCCCCACCAAAAATAAAACAATTGTTAAACCGAATGCTTTAGCCTTATCTATGTATTTCTAAACAGTGTAAATGAAAAAAAAAGAAACCTTCTAAAAAGTGTTTGTCTTATAAAAGCGGAAATGCAATTCTAAAGGCTTCCAAATTCTACCAAAGTGAGGAATTCAAATTGCTATACTTGAAGGATTTTAGGATTTTTGAGTGTTCATATTGTCAATATTGCCTCCTTAAATCCACAAATTTCTTAATTTGTCTTAATGCCCCCACCAAAAATAAAACAATTGTTCTTATTCTTACTCTACTTAATTTTAAGTATTGACTTCTTTAATTGAAAGGATAACTATGTCCAGAGTTAGATAAAAGTGAAAGTTACAAAAAAGATTGTTATAATTCGGCCTGCTTTTGAGTTCTGTTAGTCTGATAATAGTCAAGAAGAAAGAGGAAGAAAGAGGGAAGAAAGAGAGAGAGAAAGGAGTAGAAAAAGAGAGAAGAAAAGTCTGGTTCGAATTAGGGTAAAGTAACTCTCCCATTTGGCCAGACATGTTTTTATATTATTAATAGAATGGAAAAGACACATGTCCCTTATTTAAGTGAGGGACACTAGTTCTAATATAATATTATAGATCAACAACCTCAACATAAGTATAAAGATAGAAATACCCCTACACTAACACTCCTCCTAAAGCTGGTGAGTATATATCATATAATCCCAGCATGTTACATATGTAGTCCACTCTTTCCCGACTCAACCCTTTTTGTAAATAAGTCTGTCCACTGGTTCCCTGTATTAACGTATGCAGTGTCTATCACTCCATTCAGCACCTTCTCTCTCACAAAGTGACAGTCAACCTGATTGTCACAATAGAGCTTCATTGGAGTATTAATGTTGTATCCTATCTCCTGTAGAAGGTTCCTTAGCCACACTAATTCACAAGTAGTATGTGCCATAGCTCTATATTCTGCCTCTGCACTGCTTTTTGCCACGACTGCCTGCTTCTTACTTTTCCATATCACCATATTACCCCCAGAAAAGTGCAATAACCTGTGGTAGACCGCCTATCAGACATAGAACCAACCCAGTCAGCATCAGTATACCCTTCTATTTCAAGTGTTCCACCACTTTTGTATATCAAACCATGACCAGGGGCCCCTTTTAAATACCTCACAATTCATAGAACCGCATTCCAATGAGGAACCAGAGGTTTCTGCATGAACTGACTTACCACACTAACTGTAAATGAAATATCTGGCCGAGTAATGGTTAGGTAGTTTAGTTTACCTACAAGTCGTCGGTATCTACCAGGGTCTTCAAACACTTCACCCATATC